GGCCTTCGCTCTTTTTCTTATCATGCCGTTAAACTATGGAATTCACTACCGGACAATGTTCGAACCTTGAACCTTAATGACTTTAAAAAAGCATTAGCTAGCCTTAAATTGATGTAATTTTAGAACATATTGTAATTGAATTCATATTGTATTTTTGTATCATTTCAGTAAATCTATTTATTTCATTTTAGCCGTTAATTATAAATATTGCACAGGATTGTATTTTATGATGTCATGGTATATTATGTCGATTTCTTTTGTTATTTGTTATTTTTCTCTCGGAAAAATTAGTTTTTACAAGCTACTCTTAAATTCGAGAAAAAATAAAGTTTATGTATGTATGTATGTATGTTGCAGAAGTATTGAGGAGGAAACTCTCGGATTTAATTCAGAACTTTCCTACTCTAACACGCGTTGTTCAACAGTTATTCCCCGTCAATGTTGTTGAGCAGCAAAGGTGGTATTTGTATGGTTTGAGAGAGTGTCTGATGCTTGCTTTCCAGTACTACTTGGAAACATCTGCCAATGATGCTATCGTCTCCCGTTCCATTCAAGTATTTCAAGCAGCGCAGTTGTTCAACCCTCGAGTCGTCAAGACATCGAGGACAGTTGCTGCAGATGTTGATCGGATTAGAGCCGTACCGTTTCTCAATGATGATAAAACAATTCTGTCCTTGAAGAATGAACTTCCTGCAACATCCCAGATGATTTTGATCCTCTTGCGGACACCTGGCGATGGTGGAGAAACAAAGCTGCAGAAATACCATCCTGGGCCTCTACTGTCAAGAAAATCGCCCTTGCACAGCCATCATCTGCTGCTGCTGAGAAGGTGTTTTCGTTGCCGGTAACAATCTTGGTGACCAACAGAATGATGCTTTAGAAGATTATATTGAGGCAGCTCTGATGCTTCGAGTTAATAATCGTTGAGAATAGTCTTGTCACAGTGTTAGCCATACCTTACCAGACACTTCAAGCTTTGGTGCAAATTGTTTGACAGCCAGGAGTCAGGATATCTGTGACTACATTCTATACGAGTACTTTTCGTTGTTTTTGTCCCGTTATTGTCAAGGACTGTGATATAAGCACTACACGTTCTTGAGTGTGAATGCTGTCTCAGTTTTCAAGCTTTCGAATTTACACACGAGCTAGCAGTTTTGCACTCCTGGCATGGAACACTGATCCGTTTGAGTGCCTTTTGTTTAATGAAAGTGCTATCTAGCGTGCAAAATGTGTTTGCCGTTTTCTTTTCAAGGGAGAGCTAAGGTTTCATTTAAAAATAATTGTGAGAAAAATAGAGATTTTTAGAAAATTTTGGGATATATTTAGGGATTTTTAGAAACTTTTGGGGATATTTAGAGATTTTTGGAGGGATTTTTTGGAAAAAATTGAGGATTTCCGGATAGATTTTTAGAGCATTTTTCGGGATATTTGTGTCTAGGCCTATCGGATCCCCGCTTCAGCTTTTCAAAACCGTCTCATTCTTAGCCTTAGCGCATAAGCTCTTTCATAAACAAAACTTAGTTGCCACGGAGCCGCCAGCGAAAAACAAAAATTTCATGTCGCGTGCAACTTCCGTTCGGCTTTGGCAAAATGTATAATTGAGCATAAGAATTATCCAAAAGGTGAGCCGAGTTTCAAAGCTAAGTTTACAGTATTCTTTCTAAGTTTTTCCTTTTCACGCTGTCGACTAGACTCACGGCGAAAACATGGCAAAAGTTATCGGCATCCGGGTCTCGTTAAGGTGCCGCGGTGTCGGCCTGGCCCACTGCTTCAAGGCGAAAATAAACCTTGGGTCTCAAACTTGAGGAAAAGTCATTCGAAGCTGCTGTAGGAGCAGCTGATATCATAAAGGGAGATGCAACAAAAGCATTTAATTAGTGGTTATTACATGGCTGCGCAAAGATATGCAATTTCTCTTCGTGTGTTGAAAAATATTTTTACAAGTGGGCGAAGCGAACGAATGAAATATATTTTTCATCACTCGAAGGGAAATTTCGTAGGTCCAAGAGGCCATGTAGCATTCTATTTATTATTTAAACACCAATGAAAAACCAAACCACTCCACTTAAGCTACGAAAGGCGGGATTTCATTTACTGACCAATCACGTTTTCAACGCGAAAGCTCACCTAGTATTTTATTGGTGTTTGTATAATAACCTAGGTTATGATATGCTTTCGGATGCGAGTCATTTGCGGTGTTTATGAAGTATTTGTACATATACTGTATGATCGAAGTTAGACCCATAATGTAATTTGTATTGCACTGCGATATGTCTGAGTACATCAATCACACAAGAGTTCATTGGGGCATGAATTTTTTTGGATGTGCAACTTGGAGTATGTCTGACATGCAAAATATGAGCGATTTCATACGCCGATCACGACGATCGGCGAAAATCGCAAAAGCTGCGCTGGGCACACCTGGCGATTTTCGTTGATCGCCGTCAACGCCTTATACAATCGCCAAGTGTGTCGACGGGTTGTTGGTAGCGTAGCCCATAAATTGAATTTTTAAGCAAGTGAAAAACTATCGGCAAATTGACTAACACATCTACTCTGATATGAAAGTAAAAGAAGTGTTATGGAGAGTGTTTGTAAACAAGGAGAGTCCAGAAATTTCTGGAAGGCCTCGTCGCGGTCGATCAAAAAGAGGAAACTTGATGCTATGGAACTGATCATTCTCTAGTGATAAATTAGACCATGTCGTAGGACCCGTGGAGCAAATTGGGTGGGGCAAAGACGAACGCCTAAGTTTCAGCCGACCAGGCGGAAGATAGGGGCATGCTTAGCAAGAAAGGTTTAGTTTCAAAAAAGGTGGAGGCCCTCCCTCTGCGCTTCCCTGGTGTGTTGATCAAGTAGGTCCGAATGCTCCGCAGTGTTTAAATATAGACGAGGTTAAAGCTATAAATATTGATTATTTCATAAATGTTGATTATTTCAGTGCATTCTTTGTCTCAGTCTTGCTTTCTTGTAGGTTGATATCTGGATCGTGCTAATATCTTTGAAAAAATAATACAGTTTTAAGACTCACTAACATATTAAGATATTATCTTTAAAATTGCAGCATGTCCCAGGTGGCAATCATCCTATGGACTATGGTCATGCCAATGTTCCCATTGGGGGAGGTTCTGGTGGCAGTCACTTTACTGAGGGACACACACATGAAGTTGTTATTTATGAGGGTAGCGAGGAACCACAAGCTCGTTTCGTAAGTCAAGTTAGTCATTGCTGCCAATTCACAGTCAACTGAGTTACTAATTAGGTTTTATTAGGAAACCAATTAGATTTCAGAGCACTTATCGGACTTATGGCGTGGCACTTTGCTTGTGTTTTGAAAGCAATCAAAAGTGATACTGATGGAAGTGTTAAAAACCACCTTGATGATAATAGCGGAATTTATTAGCAGGGTGTATGGAATGTGATTCAACAATAAATATTTTTATATTACAATGATAATAACAATTTGACAGGCTAGGTTTTGATACATTTTTGATAAATTGGTTAAGTCTTTATCACGGAATTGGCTATGGTTTATGCCGCCCAACAATCGTGCTCGGGATCTGAGCGTCCATCGCAAAGAGGCTGGCAGCTTTGTAACCGGTATTATCCGATACGCCGAGGATGGAATGCTGCAGTTTTAGAAATACATTTATGCAGCTTCCGCCCGAGCCAGGCGGTGTGCGCACTCTGATTGCGTTGCATCATGGTCGTAAAACAAAATTTGAGTCATTTGCGTCTTGACGCATTGGAGTGAAAATCTCTGGTGGCAGGGAGATACCGCGTGAATATACGTGAATTGTAATGGGGATTCACTGTCTGTTGCCATTCCTTCGAAAGTTAAAACTTTTGATGTGCCTGCGCGACTGTCATTCCTCCGTGACAAATTCGTTCTTAGGAGGCAACTGACACCGTTCTTTAGAAAATTTCAAAACTGCAATCTGCCTAAGAATCTCGACACAAATGGCAACAGTTACACTCACAAACGATGGCGGGATGAATAATTTCAAAGTCAGTAATTATATTCCTAGACGCGAGTTATTCAGCTGTGAATTGACCCTTGACATGCAAACGCATAATAATATGAGAGAGACAGACCTTGTAATAGACGAACTTTTCCCACTGAGCGTAAAATACGGGATTTGTAAAAGGATAAGCCCCACGCCTCCTAAGAACGAATTTGTCGCGTTCCACGTTTAGTAAAAACGTACAGAGTTTCAAAACACCCTTCGAGAATAGAGGAAACCTATATGAGGGTTTTGAGAAACGTATCTCTGGAGTTACTACTTTAGGAGAGAAGTATACTCTGAAACAAAGAAAACAGCGCGAGCACGGAAAAAACTATTGCCTACTGTAACACAATCTCATCGGCTCTGCAAAAACCTCAAGAACTTTCAGAAGAGGAATTATGACACCTCAAAACTGACCCTTATTATCACATCGCAAAGAAAAGTCATCTAAAGATATCCTAATGTGAGCTAAACTTTGAGGTTAGAAGATTTAAAAGCGCCAGCGAATCGTAGGAGACGTACAGGCCTATTAACACCTTTCAACGATCGACTGCCTTTTGCTTTCCGGCTTTCCGGCTTTCCAGCGTGTCGCCTCACGCAAGGTAGAGTTTTTCAGGGATCAAGTGACTCTTTTCATTGCTCTAATTAAACTGTCCTTCATTAAATGATCAAGATAGAAGATTTACCACACAACAATCACGATTATTTAATTTTCCTTCACTTGTAAAGTAGAGTTACAACACGATTGACAAATGCCCTTGCAGTAGTAACGCTATGTAACGCAACACACTAAACACAACAATGGGCCTTTTCGCTCCACAAAAGGGTCTCAAACACTGTCACTTAAAATGCTTAAAACATTTGTGCCGTTGGAGCGCGTTTGAGCGTGTTTGGTCAGAGCTATTGAAGAAGGATCAAAGTGGCTATACAAATCTTTGAAAGGCTTCAAACTACGACGTACAACAAATTTGACCTGCTCAAAAACCGGTGTCAAATTACATGCTGAAATACAGTGCTTGCGTTTGTCCTTGAGACAAATACGCACGAAAAATACTTCTACACGTTCAGGATATATCAAATTATATTTACTTATAGTGAAAGAAAAAAGATATGGCCTAACCTTTACGGAATATTCAGTCAAATTAAAACTCTACCCATTTCTACCGCTTTTACCGCCATGTTGAAAATAACGCGACCACGATGCAATGCAATCAGAGTGCGCGCACCGCCTGCGCCCGAGCTATATGCAAATGTTTAGGACACAAGCAGGCTTCAAGATCCTTCTTGTTTAAAGTGCACCAAAACCCAAATTTTTTTTTTCGCTTAACGAAATAAGCGTATTTTTTGGAGTATTTCTGTACAAAATCTTTTTTATTTGCTCAAATCATCAATTTTCTGTGCCCAGTCAAAATACGGATAATCGGCCGCCATCTTGGCTCACGACCGAGTTTAAAGAGGAAAGGTTTTAGCGGGTAATGTGACGTCAAATCGAGAACACAAAAGTCTGCATTTCACACGTTTTCACTTGTTTGGGAAGGTTGTCGTCGATATTGTCCGAAATATGCCGACTAAGTGTGTTGTAGGAGGATGTAGCAACGTGCGAAATTTGCAAGAGGGTATCGCGCTTCATACATTCCTCATACAACACACCTAGTCGGCATATTTCGGACAATATCGACGACAACCTTCCCAAACAAGTGAAAATGTGTGAAATGCAGACTTTCGTGTTCTCGATTTGACGTCACATTACCCGCTAGAACCATTTCTCTTTAAACTCGGTCGTGAGCCAAGATGGCGGCCGATTTTCCGTATTTTGCCTGGGCACAGAAAATTGAAGATTTGAGCAAATGAAAAAATTTTTACACAGAAATACTCCAAAAATTACGCTTATTTCGTTAAGTGAAAAAAAAATTGGGGGTTTAGGTGCACTTTAAGTACTGTATTATAAATTACTCTTTCGAAGGCCCTTACCAATAAGACGTTACATTTATCCCTCTCACATCAGCTGTCTGATACACTCTCTTTGGCTACGGGTTAATATTTGCTTCCTCCCTGAGCCGAGACCAAGTTTCCATTAATAGAGAGCGGTTCCATAAGGTTTTGCAACAGGAGTTAAAATGCCAGCACATTTTTTCCACGCCCAATATGAAATAAGGTCCGGTTTATCGGCAGTGTTTTTTAGTTAGACAGTGTTAAAACTTGAGAGGTTGTTACTTGTGGCAATAGGATGTTAACATCTAGTTTGATAGCTGTAAGGTTGATGTCATTATTATTTTTCAAGTATACTATGGCATCAATAATAATATACATGGTGATACATGAAGTACATAAAATATGCTAACACGAGAGCAAAGTTGTAACACGGGTACAAATCACAAACAATGCGCCCTGTCAATATTTCGTCTGTCTAGACTTTGTGTGATGCTTTTTCCTGTAAATAATTAACAAGTGACAACATGATTTCGAGTGTAGCGTGATGTAATAAGCACTCGTAAATTTTTCAAAGACCACAAATTTC